AGGATATGGAAGCATCACATTTCTGCCTCTAGAAATGCCTTAAGCTTAAGCAACAAGCACATGAACAGAAGCCTGATCTTGCTGCAAAGATAACGGGAATGCACTGTAGAAAGAAGAAGACCTTTGCTGGAATCATAAACTGGAAGAAGTTGATTTTGCTGGAAGAAGAAACTGATGCTTCTGGAAATCCACGTTGCTGGAAAAAAAAATCTGATTCTGAACAAGAAATAGATGGTAGGAATTTTATTGATGTGGGTTTCTCGTTTTATTGGTGGTCCAATGAGAGGGATATCAAGAAATTACAGAAAAGAAGATCTGTAGAACGTTTTCGGTGAGAAAGACAAGAGACAGTATTTTCAGCACTAGAGGAACTCAACTAGTGCAGAATCTGAATCTGGTCTTTTTTTTTTTTTACTGCGTTTTCATGGAATCGCAGACCTTAATTCGGGATGGCGGAGGATTCTTGATGTTTGCTGAAGTTAGGAGAGGTCACAGTGAAATTTTGGAAAATGAAGCCATAGGAGGCAACAAAGGTATGTCAAAAACGAGTTTTTGTAGAAGTGGTCGATGGCGCCACTATCAGCCACCCAATTATGGCGACTGTCAAAGAGAGGTCATGAGAAGGAAACATTATCCACGAATAGAAGAAGACGAATAGAAGAAAGGCCTCTAGTGCTCCAGGAGGCTAGAAAATCTGAGGAATGATACATTCCAAACACTCAACACACCTAATTGCACTGGTAAATTCTTCCCAAAAGGTGCAGAATAGAAATGTTGATCAATATTTTGAAGCTCCCTATAACTTTTCCACTACTGAAAAATCCATATTGCAGAGAAAGAGGTGCAGGGAAAGTGAACTAAAGTCATCATCAATGATGGAATAACTCACTGATGAGAAAGAATTGAACAAGAGAGAAGTGGTTCTTCATCTAGTGCAACACCACGAGCCAACAGAACGTGAAAATGGCAGGCTAAGGCTTTCCTTGGCCAAAGAAGACTGAAAGCATTTTAACAAACATGTAAAAGCCAGGCAGAGAGGTTAGGTGGATGCTTCCTCTTATTTGCTCTCAGAATCTGTACCTTATCTCCAGTTTGAAGAAAGTGACAGATAAATTAAAATCAGCAGAAAACGTGAAAAGTGAACCAGCAGAGATGACCCAGCAGGAAGAAAATGAAACGAACTGATGAGGAAGCCATGGAAACATTAGAGGAGGGATCGGGTTTGCTCTGATACCATGATAGAAAACGAAATACAATGTAGAAAGAAGATTGAGAAGAGAAAGAGAGCGAGAGATTCAATAATGGCTACATCTTTATTGATTGAATTGATTTGTGAATACAAAGCATATGTCCCTATTTATAGGGAAATTACATTGA